CTACAAAAAACCGTGTGGAAACTTTGCGCGCATTCGAGGTTATCTCGATTTCAAGCGGGGATATGTTTTCCTCATACTACCCCGCGCTGAAATTAACTCTGCGTCCGAGGAGGAGGAGCCAAGTGCCAACTCCTGGTGAACGAACTATACTAGTATTGCAGTAATAGATAATAAACTAATGTACTGGATACTGTGAAAATAGTTTTTATTGCTTCCAGAAATAGAAGAATTTGAAATTTTCCTCTTAAAACAGTTATTGTTTATCTTTATTTGGCTACTAATTTTCATCTTAAAACCATTTTCTAAGCTTGGTTGAACATTTTTACCTTAAAAATCAGTGTTTTTCTACATTTTGCTATAAATAATGATTACCGAGAGTTAATATACATAAATATTAATATTCGGAAAGATTAAAATTAATATTTCAATCATGATCATAAAAATATTCGAGGTTATTGTTACGCGTAACGCCTAGTATAAAACGCATGTTTTGGCGAGTCTGTCGTAATTTCGAAGGAATACGGTCACATGTTAGCCGCTGGCGTCCGAACCATCCAGTGTTGATGACCGAGACAAATATGAGCACATTCATTTATGCCAATGGCTTGGCCACTAAAAACTACGTTTGCAAATTGAATAGATATTTGATTTCTAATCAGGTATTATACACCTAAACCATTTATCTAATCTTTAGTTATAATTCTAATTTCATTCTTTCTTCTCTTTGTCAAAATCGGGGAGAGAAAGTGTTTCTTCTAGCCAGAGAAGTGTAACAAGCCAATTTGTTCTACTTTCTTATACCTTTTGGGCATGTTTTTATGTTTTTGTTTTCTGTTTACATTTATTTATTTTTTTGGCTGGATTCTTCGTGCCCATTCTTCAACGTGACTAGAATCTGATGAGGGGGGGGGGAAACCCAGTTGTAGAATAACGTAGAAAATGCTTGAATGTCAACAAAACTAGAATTGAAACCTTGCGTAATGTTTGTGAATCCAGCCGGTATCATTATGCCGTGATTAACTTCAGCTGGCTTTTCTGTGCCGCTAAGAGACAATTATATGAAATGAGACGTTTACTTTTGCTTCATGTGAAAATACAACTAACAGGCATGTTTTTTTTCCCCAAAATTTACCAGAAGAATTTTTCAATTTAATTTTTTTTTTCATTCTATAATACTTTTGAGGATCATAATTTCTTTATAACCTTTGACTTCTTAAGAAGAATTTTATCCTTTCAAAACCCAAATAATGGTGTCACGGTTTGAATGAATTAAAAAGTATTTCAAATATTTTTTTAAACTCATGAAATAAGGGTTTTTATGTCATAACGAATTAACTCTTAAAAGTAATAGGAGCGTTGTATATTCAATTCTATCACGTGTTTTAGTGGTAAACTGTCATGTGCCTTTCCTCAAGAAACTTAAAATGGAAGTCCTTTTAACATAGGAAATTTTTTATCTAAAAATTGACTAGTATGAAGTACGAACAATCTTCAAGGAATTTAAAAAAGTTTATATAAAATGAGTTCCATTTTAGCAAGCTTTTATTCACACTTAAAGTTTGCAAATGTATATCCAGTCGCGAAATTCGAAGTATTGAATTTTTAATTCCAAAAAGCCAAGTAATAAAATAATTCAGTAACTTCTTTATTAAAAAATCTACATTGGAATAAAGAAATTTGAATATTCTTTCTAAACACTTTTTTTAATTTTATTAAGGGCCACATGAATCCTATTGAATTAGACATATTACCCTTAATAATTGTTCTCTTTTTTGTACATACAGGGCTGCCAACTTTTTACGCTTTTTGCAAAGATTTACTCTAGTGGTAGCTAAGTTTGTTTCAGTGCATTATTTTTTATTGATTTAAACTTATTTTCTCCACCACTACATATAAATGATTTAAAAGCTCATATGCAACGTCATTTTGTTCCAGCTCTCACTAGGTGAAAATTTTAAAATAAGGGCGAAATTTTTAGAAATTCTGAAAGTTTTTGTTTTTAGTTGTCTACCACTCCATGAAATATTTTGCCAAAACATAGTAGTTGGCATTTCAGATTATTCTAAACAAAACAACAACACCATACTTGCCAACTCTCCCGCATTTTGCTCCAGATTTTATTTTCATATTTAAAGTGGTAGTAATTATATACTATTTTTTTCTTTTATAAATTTAATTTTTAAATGATTTTGATCACCACTATTCTTACAAAAATTAAGCTTATATATTAATATGCGTTACAAACTTGGTTGTCAACTTAATTTTATTCAAATACAACGTATTTGTTTGCGTAAAATTGAAGTTTTAATTCCATTTTAATACCACTGGGAAAAATGATAATGGAGGGAATTAAAAGTTGGCACGTCTGAACAACACTCTTGCATAATAATTTTCCATCGCTTTGATTAAATTATTGCTGTTGATTGCAATGAGGCATTTTGAATTAATATATTCTTCCGCTTATGAAGCATAAAACAATATTTTCAAAAAAAGTGTGTTTAGATGTAAATAAGTTTCGTTATGATTAAAACTGTACTTTGGAGCAGAAAGATTTCTTTTTTTTTGCATCAGTGTAAGTTACAAAAGATTAGGAAAAATTGCCCACACGTTATTAATAGTCATGCGAAAAACTAGCCACCAGTTATTTTGTATTTTCGGGTGGTGCACAAAAGTCTATGTCGGTTTTGAAAAGGGTTAGTTCCAGTGTATACTTCTGCCTTTTGTCTATTACCCAGAATTTTTGAAAGTATTATTAATCCTTTTGGAGACCAATTTATAAAGAAACAACAAAATTAAAATATGGTGATAAGTTTCGATGAAGAATGATTTTAAAATTGTTTAGTTGATTGATTACCAAATCTAACCTGATACCTTCACTAAATGTTTTGCCATCTTTAAAATGTGCCGGTAATTTATGTTTTATCTTAATTCAGAAAAAGACTGAGAGCAAAATAAATGTATGAGAAATCTCACTTGTTGAGTGTCGCTATTAAGATCAAATCAAGCTTGTAATTCGTATTTTTCACAGAGAAGGATTAATAACGAAGAGACCTTCCAATTTCGATCCTGGTGTTCACTTAGTGAACTACCATTTATATATTGAACATATTGAACTAGTTTAGTTCACATTGAAACTTTTTTAAAATAATTTAAAATTTTTGTTTTATAAGTGTAGTGGTAGTTATAAACAGAAATTTTGGGTCCTTAAAATTGTAATAATGATAGGACTTACTTGTAAAATTCAAACTTTTATTAAGAACAATTATATTTAGTAGCTTTTTTTAAATTAGACATTTTTTTAAAATTAAATATGAATAATTTATAATGTAAATCATAGTAGTAGCAAGACTTTCAACGCTTTTTGTAAAAAATTATTCTAGTGGGAGCGATCTACATATCTTAATATATTAGTTTGTATTTATTTAAACTAATTTCCGAAACCACTACAGATAAATGGTTTTAAAGCCCCCATGCAACGCAACTTTACACCAGCTCTTTCGTGGCAAGGCTTTTAAAATGTTGACAAAATTACCAAACATTCTCTGGTTCTCTACCAAAAAAAGCTTTGGTTTTTTAAATGTCCACCACTCTATAAAATATTTTTCAAAATGCATAGTAGTAGGCAAGTGTGTAATGATGATTGAATAATGAAAGAAATAATAAATAAATATTATTTGAATTTCTACCACTTTTTACATTTATAGTCGCCTATGGCATCCCTATTATGATTATTCACCAATGTAAGAAATTAAGTCTCGAAGTATATAATAATATTTTTGCATTATTATAATTAATTGCAGAGAAACGAAAGTTGTTTGTTAAATAAAAATAATTTAAGGAAGTCATTTTGAGGCAAAAAATGTTTTTGAAACTTAAGTGATCATTAATTGTCGTAATAGAATAATCGTTTAATTAATCATTTATAGTTATTAAATAATGATAAACTTAGTACTAATTTTCTGTTAGTTTGAGGAAAAAACTGGGTACATGCCTTTTTTTTCCTACCTGCCATTTTTTCATGATTCACAAAAAAATTCATAGCATGAAATTTTCTCAGAAACAATTGAGCTTAAACTGCAATTAACAGTCGCTAACTTTTGCGCATTGCGTAAAAGTTTTCTTTAAAATTTATATTATATATTTATTTCGGTACTAAAAATCTCAGTTCATAAAAAGATTTGCTGACCCATATAAAAACCTTGATTATTTAACTGCAATTTTTTTAAATGCAGGCAAAAAGAAATCAGTGTCGACAAAATTAGACAATAGTAAATATAATTTTCCATCCATTGAGAAAAATCTTCCACAAAAAGAGTAAGGGTTGGTAGCTATGTGAATTTTATGATAAATCGCAATCTAATTAAATTTCTATTCTCACCCAAAAATAAGCGTTACTAAAAAAATTAAACAAATTTGATACACATTTTTAAATAGGACACGGTGAATATTTTTACCATTGACTTGAATTTTTATTTTATTTAAATTCACCAAAAAATTCCTGTCAACCATGAGTGATCCATACATTAAGAAATTCTTCTTGAAAAATTTATTTGTTTATACCAATTGGAAATGAGATTCAAATAAATTATATAACATGCAGATAATGAACACAAATATCATAAATTTTAAATTAGACTCTATAAATGTTACCAGCTCTTATTTTAAAAAAATTAAGTAAAATTTATAATTGGACTAAATAAAGAAATATGTTAAATATAAACAAATAAAATATAAGAAACGAGACGTTTTAACTAATTATTATTCATCAAAGATATTTATAAATTAAATATTAGAGCTAAACTAATAAGTCTAATATCTAATATTGCCGTGAAATTAAATTCGATAAAATTAACGATAATCTTATAAACCAGCCACTTTTTTTTTTAAAAAAAATTCCGAACTGTGGCTTACATACTTTTAGTAAGTTATGTGTGCATCAATGGCTTCAAAATTATATTTTTTTACTGAATTTTTAATTTATTAATTAAAAAATCACTTACTTTTATTTGTTCAGCAGGATAAAATAATCGAATGAATACACCATCCGTGGAATATTTTGTCATAATATCTATACACCCCACATTGTAAGGGCCGGTTGGTTTTGGAATTTGCCTCGGCAACTTTTTTCCCTTTTTCATGAACAATCCCATAATTGAACAATTTCAAAGTAACTTAAAAATCTCAACTTGTTCACCGGCTGAAAACGAAATGACCCGCTGGCTAATAGTTGAGGATCAATTTATAACATTCTATGAACAGCGCACTCTGTTGGGATGACCCGTAACACTTTTACCACTTAGTTTCGACGTGTGACCGAAAAACTACAAAGTCTTGGCATAGCCTTGAACGAAAGTGAAAACTTTATAATACGTCATGGCAGAACGCGTTTTGTGGATTCCTCATCTAAAAACTTCCAAATCTTGTTTAGGTAGGGTTTTTTTTTCCTCTCTCCATGAAACAAGAAGTTTCGAGAAAGTTTCAATAATCTCTCATCTAAAAGTTCTATAAGATTCTATAATCTCTGAGTATCATAATCTATGAATTTGATAGTTCATTAGTCCTATATAAAGACTAATTAATCTTTATAAGTCAAGTTTTTCAAACACCGATAATTTCCTCCCCAAATTTAGACGTGGTTCAAAGAAAACATCGTAAATTTTTCAAATCATCACAAATATTATTGCCAACTTTAAATAAGAAATAGCAATTTTTATGAGAATTATAATGTTAGCTTTATTTTGAATTGTATGGCAGCATAATATTAATCTTTCATTCATAACAGCTTCTTATATTTTCATTTCAAACAAAACATTCTTTTTTTTGGGGTTAAAATCCCCGGAGTTTTTGAAAATCTTTTATATGCATTTACTTCAAAATAAATACATGCTCTCAATATATTCATCTATATTGATAAATTAGTTCATACAGTACTGAATCGGGTTAGTTTCTTCTATACAAATAAAAAAGGAAACAAATCTAGCCACAACACTGCAACAAACATCAATAACCTTTGAAAGCCTTCACCTTCAGATTCAAAAACAAAGAGGCAACTTCCGCAATCATCAAAAAATACTTCCTCTTTTCTAACTTATAAAGCTTTGTACTCAATCTTGACTCTGAATATTTTTCAATGTCACGGGCATATTATGTATCTTTTGAGATCACTGTTGTTTTCATTTTTTTATTATCTAACACTTCCTCTTCGAAATATCTTCAGGGCAAATTGTGATTCCTCTTCAAAAGCTGAGACTTGGGTGTGAGAAGAGGAAGTAGCTCGAAGGAAAAGCGTCTTAGACGAACTTTCATTCGGAAGTAGGCCGCTAACACTTGAAAGATGGATGTTTTCGAAGTTAACACTTTCACTTAAGGTCTTATCTACAATCGAAGAGTAGATGTTTCTGAAAATATCACTTTCAGTTTGTTTTTACTATCTTCAAATATCGATAATTAGAAAGTTCTGATGACTTAATATTCGAAATTTAAATAATTTGATAATATTGGGGATTTTAATGTTGATAAATTAACATGAAGTAGATCACTTTAACTTAAAAGATGAATGTTTCTGGGAAAAAATCACGTTCACCTATTGTCAAAAGTCATCGTACATTGAACATTTGAATAATTCGATGATATTGATAATTTAGAAATTGATGAGCATACTTTCGGTAGTAAGCCGCTTTGATTCGAAAAGTAGATGGTTCTGAAAATATCACTTTCACTTATACTTGTTTCTTCAAATATCGGTAATTAAAATGATCTGACAACTTAATATTCGAAATTTAAATAATTTGATAATATTGGGGATTTTAATGTTGATAGCATGAAGTAGATCACTCTAACTTAAAAGATGGATGTTTCTGAAAAAAATCACGTGCACTTATTGTCAATAGTCATCATACATTGAACATTTGAATAATTCGATGATATTGATAATTTAGAAACTAATGAGCTTACTTTCGGTAGTAAACCGCTTTGACTCGAAAAGTAGGTGTTTCTGAAAATATCACTTTCAATTTGTTTTTCCTATCTTCAAATATCGATAATTAGAAAGTTCTGATAACTTAATATTTGAAATTTAAATAATTTGATAATATTGGTGATTTTAATGCTGATAAAATAGCATGAAGTAGGTCACTTTAACTTAAAAGATGGATTTTTTTGAAAAAAATCACGTGAAACTTATCGTCAATAGTCATCGTACATTGAACATTTGAATAATTTGATGATATTGATAATTTAGAAATTGATGAGCTTGCTTTCGGTAGTAAACAGCTTTGACTCGAAAAGTAGATGTTTCTAAAAAAAGTCACTTTCCATTATATACTTTTCTACAGTCTTCACGTATCTGATATTCTGGATATTCTGATCATATAGTATTTTAAGACTTGGAAGTTTAAATAATTTAATAATGTTGGCTATTTGAATATTGATCAATAGGAAATAGGTCACTTTGACTTAAAAGGTGGATGTTTCTAAAAAGATCACTTTCACATTATAGTGAACAGTTATCGAATATTTGATGATATTGATAATTTGAATATTGATTTTCTTACACTCGGAAGTGGTCTGCTTTAACTCAAAAAGTGGATATGTTTTTGAAAATAGCATTTTCACTTATTGTTCTCATCACTACTCAATATATACTGATAAATTATTATCAGCAGTCATCGTATACTGATAATGTGAAAAATTTGATTACATTCATAATTTGATGACATTGATAATTTGATTAATTTGAAAGTATTTATAATTTTGTATAATTTGATAACATCGAAAATTTAAAAACTGATGAGCGTTCTTAAAGGAGTATACAGTTTTGATTCGAAAGTTAGATGCTTTTAAAAATATCACTTTCACTTATAGTCTTATTTACAATCTTCAGACACCAATATTCTGATAATTTAATGTTTACAGAATTTCAATAATTTGATAACAATGATAATGTGAATATTGATGAAATCAAATTTAGAAGTAGGTCACTTTGAGTCGAAAGTTAGATGTTTCTAAGAATATCACTTTCACTTATACTCTCATCCACAGTCTTCAGACACCAATAATGTGAATATTCTGATAATTGAATGTTTACAGAATTTCAATAATTTGAAAGTACTGATACTGTGAATATTGATAAAGATATTGATGAAATCAAATTTAGAAGTAGGTCACTTTGAGTCGCAAGTTAGATGTTTCTAAGAATATCACTTTCACTTATACTCTCATCCACAGTCTTCAGACACCAATAATGGGAATATTCTGATAATTGAATGTTTACAGAATTTCAATAATTTGAAAGCACTGATACTGTGAATATTGATGAAATTATATTTAGAAGTAGGTCACTTTGCCTCAAAAGTTAGATACTTCTGAAAATGTCACTTTCACTAGTACTTTTATCCACAATCTTCAGACTCTAATAATGTGAATATTCTGATAATTTAATGTTTAAAGAATTTCAATAATTTGATAGCACTGATAACATATGAAATTACATTCGTATAGACTCAAAAGTTGTATGTTTCTGAAAACAATCGCTTTCACAGTAAATGTTCGTCATATATTGAAAAAGTAATTGATTTGATGATATACTGATAAAATAAATCTTGATTTTTCTTACATTCGGTAGAAGTCTGCTTTGACTCAAAAAAGGACTATTTAGGAAAATATCACTTTTACTTCTCATCAATTGTCCTCTTACTTTGAAAATGTTATATCTTCAATCCTCGTATGTTGATAATTTGATTTATTTGATGATAATGATATTAAAATCATTGATTACTTGCATTCGGAAGTAAGCCGTTTTCACTCCATAGATGAATGTGTCTGAAAACATCACTTCCACTTATAGTCAGCAGCCGTCACACATTGAAAATTTGAATAATTTAGTGATGTTGTTAATTCGAATATTGATGAGCTTGCATTCGGAAGTAAGCCACTTTGACTCAAAAGTTCGCTGTTTTTGAAAAAAGTCACTTTCATTTACAAATCTCAAACAGTCGTCGAATATTGATAATTTTTGAATGAATCCCCGTTCCTTGATCGCTTGGGATAAATGTTTGTTTAAAGGAAAACATTTAACTCTGATTTGTTTTGGGTAAAAGATTTAGTTTCAGATAATTTTCAAGCAGGTAAACGTGATGGATAATTTTTTGTTCCGTTTGGATTTGCTTGATTTGGCAGTTTCCTCTTTTTGATTTTCCTTAAAACTTGCTACGGTGATTTTTTGTTGTTGTTGATGTATATAATTGATTAAAAACGCAACTTAAGAAAAAATATTAATAAATTTTATAAAGTATTTACTATTATCAGATGTATTGTGATAGATTCTATGTGGTGTTTATATTCATTTATAAACTTTTCATTTACATACATTTTAATTATTAGGCTCTATTTATAATAACTACACCGTTTAGGTTTTCTGCAGTTCGGAAAAATTTTTAAAAAAAACTGTAGTGAGTTTAAGAAAAAGCTGGCAGCTCAGCAAATAAGATTTATTACACTAATACATCTGTTTCTATTAAACAAAGTTCCTTTTCTTAAAAAAAAAGCTTTAACGCTCTTTAAAAGTAACAACTGTTATATTATTGGAATTAATTTTATAGAAACAATTTTTAGTGGTGGTTACAAAGAATTTAGAATAACGACATTTGTTTTATTTAAGCTACCACTTTTTAAAATTTTCAAGGCCCCTGCCCTCTGCGTGCAGGGATGCCAAATGAGACTATAAATGTAGAAATTTAATTGTAATTAGCACTTCAACTTATCTTTTAAATTACTCATATTTAAAACCTCTTTCAATAGTAAACTGAGATTAAGCATGCTATAAAAAGTTGCTACTCTTAATATCGTCTAATGAAACTTTAAATTTTATTAGACGCCTCTTTTTGCATTTTTAGTTGATTGCGGCAACCCTTCTTTAGGCGAGTTCATTAGAATGGTAGAATGGTAGAAATCACATAAATCTCGGTGCGCTGCAGCGAAGCGGCATTATCCGATTCATCTGTAGTAATAAATCGATGATGAGGAGTTCGAGAAGGGGTTCGTGTGACTCGGCTGGGGCTGAGTGTATTTCGTGTGCTAGGGCAACATATACCTAAGGAAAAAGGCAGTGATGGGCCTAAATTTAGTGTTGTCGTCAATTAGTTCTATATCTAGGAGTGAGTTAAAATTGCTGGTGGTACAGGTTTTTGCTTCATCGTAGAAATTTTGGTTTAAATTTTTTATATAGACGTTGATGTCATCAATTTTAAGATCCCTTTTTATACTATTATTGCTAATGCATT